GACGATTACAGTGACCACCTGCAGGTAGCTCCTAGATTGAGATTGTCGTGTTTGCTGTTTACTTATTAGAAAATCAATAACTTTTCGTAATATCCTGCCTTTACTTTATGATCTGATTAGTAATGCTGATCCTTTATTTGTGAACCTCTACGTATTCTTGCTTGTTAAATAGCCCTTACACTAGACCTTCTCTTACACCTTGTTATTTAAAAAAACTAGCACTGGATAGCAGTGACCTCCTAATAAGAGAGGAATACAGTTGCGTGCTATTCCAATTTCCTAATAGTCCAAAAAAAATATTACAATTCTCCTTGTAGTTGACAAGGGGCCATTGATATGCCACTTCATTCATTGCATTTCGAAGGCGTGACGTTCCTTCCACTTCCTTTTCGCCAGCGCCGCCGCCAGATTGCAGGGTTGTCGGCCGCTGCTGCAGCCGCGGCCTCTCATCGCTTTCCAGCCCCGTGACCCCGAGCCGCGCCCCTTCGTGTTCGACTTCCCCCTACCTGTGGCGTGCGTCTTCGCCGGGGTAGACCCTCTGCAGCGTGTAAGCGTCGCAGGATAATAGGTCTTGTTGGCCCGCCAGAACTGGGTCCCTCGGTAGCTTCGGCTTTGCATTTTGATGTTTGTTAGTTTGTCACCTGGGTGGTTTGTAGAACAGGCCATTGTAATTTCACGTAAATTGTTATGTACTCATGAATTGTAAATTTTACATTTGGAATTTCAAAATTGTGCATATGTAATAGAACTGTTTTAAAAGCTTACAATCCTATTATCTAGGCTTCGGCTGTGACTATAGTCGTGACACCTGATGACCAGCCTGTGACATCATCGCCCTTTGACTCAGACTTGGATGACGAACGTTCCGTGACGTCACGGTCAGGCGCCCATGGGACGGACATATTCGTGACGTCACTGGCGAACAGACCAATCCCACATCCTCAGGTGACGTCACGGTCTTTCCCACGCGTCCCGCTTCCACGGCGTCCGGATACGCTGTCGGGAGTGCCCTTCGACAATGTCAAGACACGCACAGAAATAGTGCAAAACGAAGCTGAAGCTAAAGTCAGCCGGCAGTCGGGAGGCTCTCGAGCTCATCCAGCTCACGTTTTCTTGACATTATGTCTATCGCTTGCTTTGCTTGTTCAAAGATGATCTTGTAGACTGCATAGGTAGACTTTATACATACTATGCATATGTAAGTTATTTTAATTGTTACATACTACCACAAATGTTATATATATACACAGCTTTTCCTAATAGGTTGTACACACATAATGTATCTGCAACAACGAGACGTGAATCAACGCCAAGAAATTTTGGACTACTTACGTGAACGGCAAAGAACACCACACCACACACTTACACCATGCATTTCCAGGTCCAGAACAGCTTGTCCTTGACTGTAATACGGACAGAGAACAAAAACATCGACCCGTATCTACACTGTCATACTTCTAAATGTCCTATGGTAAAAATACTCACCATATAAATGCGTTTTACTATTTTACGGGAAGAATGTTACTTACAGTATATCAAAAGATCGAGCAGGATGTGGTGGCATCCTTATAGATAGTAGACACGGGAGGTGTCGTAAGACTGAAGAGGAGTACGCTATTGGTCTTACTTGATTAATAACAGCAGCCAAGCAAACTGACTTTGTAAGTTACACTAATGATAAAGAAATATTTTATTTGCACTATATATACACAAAATAGATGTACGTACAACAATGTACAATAAAGAACAATTTCTACTTGTATTTTACTTAAAGAAAGATGAAATGAGAAATACAATAACCAACCTTCAAGAGCAGCGGGAAAACAAACCAACGGATCAAAAATCCACCAGCATGAAAGAGCACAGGTTCCCCCGAGAGCCGCATCCTCACTGAGGGACGGTCTGACAGAGATTCCATGTTTATGATATTCTAGTTTTAGTAAGAACTTCTTCGAAGAAACAAGGAAACGCATTCTTCTCAACAGACTCCATTGCGTATACAATGCTATCTTGTTACGAAGGCATTTTACGGAACAAAGCGTTAATTCACACTTACCTACATGTCCATCATCAGACTCTATGCATTCATGTTCCTTCGCATGCATAATCATATAAAGATGTTATAAAGGGAAGAGGGAGGAAAAGAGAGAGACAGAGAGGGGGGTAGATAGATAGGTAGATATATATAGAGAGGTCACATGAACCGAGTAAGAGGATTAGAGAACGAGAAAAAAAAATCCATGTACGAATGCGATGTACTTCAGAAAAATCATGGAATGATAATTTAAAATACCTCTTGAAAACTGGAGAGCACGATAAAGAAAACTACAGGAAACAATTTTGTGAGATGGGAGAGCAGGGAAACTTGAGGTCGTGGAATGCAAGCAGCGGAAGGCACTTTAGTCACCATTTTCTGTAAGTGTTGTCGCAGATGAAATGCAGCTGCGTCGCGTGCTTAGGTAGTTCTTGGGGTCTTTTAACCGTATACGAGTCCCTTAAA